AGGTCAGAGCAGGTTAATAGTACTTTTTTACTGACCCTAACAGTCACTCGGATTGTTTGCTCGAGGTTGTCTTGTTTAGCGTTTTGGATAAAGATCCTAAACACAAGGCAGTGGTGGTAGGCAAATGGTAATTCACAGTCGCTAGAAAACAGGGCCGTCATCGCCTTTTACGGTATATTACAAGCCACTTGCCGTGTCAAACCTCACACGTTCTTCACCGCTGATTCGCGGTCGTTTAATCTTCAGGCCAATGAGCTCGCATATTTCCCAGCTTACCTTCACTGAAGGCTGTTTCACCGTCGGCCACCCCTGGGCGTGATGGATGGCCAGCAGCTAAACTAACAGGAAATCTATCTGGACGATGAAAGCCAGAGAGGGAGTTTAGGAAAATGGTTTTAGTGTGCAACTTATACTTATTAATGACGTCAGTAGGCCAAACGTAGGCATGGTGAAAGCATTATGAATTGCGAGGGGGTTTGGTTGGGAAAATGACACAATATTTAATGGCTCCAATCAAATAAAACACTCGCAACTAACTCCTTTTTCTAAGGGGAGGGTGGGGGAGAGACGATCCTTAGCAAAGAAAGAACAACTTGAGTAGGATCTTTTTATGCATTTGACTCGACGAATTGAACGTTTCGCGTTGGATGCAGGAGGATTGCCCGATTTAAGTGAACTAATTTGCAGTCCCCTTGAGCAATTCATTTAAGTACAAATGATAAAATGGAATCCAAATGTTTAGGTATAAAAAGACGATATTCAATTCTAACTGAAGTAGAAATCATACAAGAGTCCGATACATCAGGGTTAATGCGTATAAGGCTTTATGAGGCCGCGTATTTATGAGTACAACTGGCGGACGACGAGGAAACATGGATGTGATCTTTGCAAAGCGATTAATGCATCCTACACAAAACGCTGAAGCAGAAATCGGTACCCCTGTGAGCAGCAACCACATTGTACCGATAGAATAAAGCAGTCCTCTTTTACCAACAAAATGGGCGGCCGGCAGTAGTAAATTAGTGTTTGATGCATGCTCTGACAACTGCCTGTTACCTTGCGTATACGACCCCATTGTCCGGATGTGTCTATTATGTACAGCAGAGATGGCCTCCGCACGACGCAGTCCGGTTACCCTTGCTTGCAAGCCCTGCAATGAGACAGTT